TAAAAGTGATTCGGTTAACCGATAACCGAGAAACCGAAGCCTGTTTTGGTCGGTTTTTGGTCGAGAAGGTGGTTATTTCGGTTAACCGATCGGTTACCGGATATAACCAAAATAACAGAACTGCCAACCCTAGTCGGAACTTGACTTTGTGCTGCCTTGTTTGGCGGTGTGAACTTCCTCGGTGATCTCTGTTGCTTTTCAACCTTAATTGCGAGGTGAAGGGCTTCCTCCAGGTTGACAAAAGATCGAAGATCCACTTCCTGTCGAATCTCGCGGTTCAAACCATGAAGAAATCACGCCACCGTCGCTTCTCGATCTTCCCTGACGTCGGCCCACATCATCAGCAATTCAAGTTCTCGGCAGTACTCCTCCACACTCTTTGACCCTTCTTTAATCCCATGCAGAGATTCATAGAGTTTGTGCTGGTAATAGGCAGGTATGAACCTACCTCGCATAATTCCACGTATCTCGTCCCATATCGCGACCGGATTCTGATTATTTCCTCGCCGGCGAAGCTGCTGCTGGTCCCGCTACTGGGCGGCGTAATCCAAGAATTCATAAGTAGCCATAGCTACTTTCTGGACTTCAGTAAACTGTCCACATTGGAAGAAAAACACAATCTTCCTTTCCCAGTCGAGATATCTCGAGGGATTCATTGTCCCCTGACACGGTGGTACTAAATAGCTTGATGCCCGGAGGGATTGTCGGTTCTGCTTCTTGTTGTCGTTCGCGACGATCACGGTGTGGACGTTCTCGATTGGGATCAGCAATGACGAGTCTCCCTTCAAGCTCTGTGATTCTATCCAACAATGCTGGATTGCCATATGGATTTTCTCTGTCGGGAGCTTCCTTTGTTCGAACCCGATTCTCCGGCCGAGTAATAGTCTCAAATTGATGGTCAATTTCTTGTTTAAATTGCCCTAATTGATCTCGAATTTGAGCATGAACCATCTCCTCCATACGATCCAACAATTCCTTCATGTCAAACGTCTGTCCCGCCATCTCTATTCGCTCCTTCTTCTTCGTTGATTCTGGAAACACAAAAGCAAGGTCGTCCGACACAGGTCCTTTTGACCTTGTCCAGGGCGTCGTTGTGACCACACCTTCCTTCGTTTGGTCCACTGTGTAGAACCAGGCTCTTGATGAACCACTAGATGAGGTTTATTGATCAGAATAGCACAGCTAAGGAATCCAAGAGTTCCCTCGAGCAAGAACTTCACAAACAGGGTATGATTTGAATGTGTTGTGGTGGAAGTTTCGTGCAATTCTCACGAAGGGAGAAAGGCTCGTAAACTATAAGTAGCAGCTCGGCCACGAACAGCGTGATTAGCTAAACGATGCAAGCACTCAAGCTGCTTAGAACTCCTTCTAAACAACTCTCAAACTCATGAAAGCAACAAGCTTTGTAGACCAAACTCAAGTTTGTATTCAATTCTATGAATCTTAAAATTACAATGAATCAAAGCTAGTTAAATAGACCTAGCCAATCCTACTACTCTTAGAGAAGTCCTAAACAAATTACAATTGGAAAAGGAAACCAAAACCAACAATGAAAAGGAATTAAACACAAAACAGCAAAGGAATCCTAATCTGATAAGGATTCGGATTGCCTTGTTTCCGAAGACAGAAACTCAGCTTCGATACGATCTTTGGAGCTTTCGTTCGAGGCCTTCCATTCTTCATTCCAGTCATCCAACGCCATGTCGTTATATTAGAAGAAACCTACTTTCATGCTACACAAAGATCCAGCCTCGACTCTCCCCCATGTGCTTCGAATACTCCTCCAAAGTAGGGTTCTCAAACTGGTTCTTACACTTAGCCAATTTTTGGCAGAATTCCAGTTTCGACATAGCATTTTGAGACGCTTTAACCATGACCCTCCTGCCTTTTTCTTGAGCTCCAGAATACTCTATTTTGTAGAGAAACTCACCAGCTTCAAAACAAGACTTCCTTTCCCCATTTCCATTGATCCAATTGGAAGAAACTTGAGTGCCAAGTAAGGTACCTGAACTGGATAAAACACTTAGACAAAATTCGGAATTCATTTCATATCTTGAGATGGATTTTGATTCAATCCATTCTGGCTTGTAGACTGAGCCAAATGGGATCATATCACAACCACCCAATATTTTTTTTATCTAAGGAGATTCTCCATGAGAAGGCTCCAGTGATCAAAGTCCCCATCGAATTTTGGCAACCTCACTTGTGCAAAACTAGCATTGTCACTCATGTTTGTAGAAAACAAACAACCCTCTATTCCCCCCAAAAAAACACACCCTTGAAAGGATTCCTCACCAACGTTCTCTCGTGTTTCCCACACCCAGATCCTGCACTCACACTCAATTTCACTCACACACAATCACTCGGAACTTTGCTTGAAAGAAAGATACATATAGTGGTTAATGCAAACCACAATCTCTGGTTGCTATCAACGTTCCATGACCCTTGAATCATGCTAACACGACTCAACAAACTAACTAATCGGCTAAAGACTCTCAACTAACAAACCACTTCTGACATGACTCAATTGTAACTTGACACAAACATAACGACTGACTCTGCAATACGCCAAATGATGTCGTATTGCTTATTATACAGAGACTCAATTTAAACTCTTTCTTTTGGCACGCTACTAATTCGAATCCAGTTCGGATTCCTTCTCAACAATCCCCCCCCCCCTCCCTCTTCGGGTTATGATTTCTTTTATTTCTTTTTAGTGACTCGTTGGTGTATCAAAAGTCAAATATACTTCCAACTTGCAAGCTTTTCATCTCGTCTAGACTTAACAAGACTGCAAAGAGGGAGCACACGAACTAGATGGATGCTTGCAATCACCGATCTAGCCAATGAATTAAGCATCTATGTATATTACTGGAACAACATATTTTGGATATGCTTACCACTAAAAAATCACTTAATACCACATTGATTATTTTCAAGGAGTGGTAGTGGTTTATAAGGCTAACTTAACCATATTAATTAAATTGGTTTAAACTGGGACTAAATGATAGAATTTTAGGCTTCATACAAGGTACCTCAACACACATTTCTTGACCCATCAAACACTCATCTGTCATGCAAGAGGGGTCAAGCGCCAAGCGTTGACACCCTTCACCATCAACCATCCAAGTCGGCATGGTGAATGTGAAAATTTGGCTAAGGTTGGAGACCCAACCACAAGGGGGGTCAAGCATGACGTCATCCAAGGGGGGTCAAGCACTAGGTACCATGCCGCCTACCTACGTTGCACTAGGGTGTCAAACATGTTGTCGTGCAAGGAGGGTCATCAAGCATACGATTTGATTACTCCTAGAAAGTGATGACATAGGAAGGAGAATTTGGTTTAAGTATTGAGACCTAATCACAAGGGGGTCAAGTATGACATCATCCAAAAGGGGTCAAGCACTAAATACCATGGCCGCCTACCTACCTTGTACTCGGGTATCAAATATGATGCCATGCAAGGGGGCCATCGCGAGTACCCCTAGACGTGATGTGGAAAGAATGTGAAAATTGGCTAAGTGTTGAGACCCAACCTCAAGGGGGTTCAAGCACCAAGTACCATGGCCACCTACCTACCTTGCACCCGGGTATCAAGTATGATGCCATGCAAGGAGGGTGATATCAATCCCTCTAGACGTGGCAAGGGAAGAAGGGCAACGCGCATCTCTAGAACGTGGTGGCAAAGAAAGGCAAAGTTTGGTTAAGTGTTGAGATCCAACTACAAGGGGGGTCAAGCACCAAGCTACCTACATACCAAGCACTAGGTATCGAGCATGACATCGTATAAGAGGGGTAGAGACATTGGTAATGGTATTTGGCTAAGTGTAAAGAATTCGCCACCCACCCCTCAAGGAGGTTGTGTACCCGCCTACCAAGCACCAGGATACTAAGCATGATATCATGCCAGGGGGTATGGCACAACGCACCCTCTTCCCACGTAGTTAGGCATGCTAGGCCTCATGGATGGTAGACCGCCTTGTCAAGACCTTACAAGCATGATGCCATCCCAAAGGGGTCAGTGTGCATCCATCAACTCCCCAAGCACCTTGGCGTAAAGCATGATGTTGTGCAAGGGTGGTCAGCATGAGGCATCCAATGTCAAGATGAAGTCAAGCGAGCTGCCTCAACGACACAAGGTAGCTACATGCCAAGTGAAATCGTCAAGCTATCAAGGTACCAAGTGATATGCAAGCAAGCAAGGCGGTTAAGGTGTCAAGCAGGCTACATCAAATACCAAGCATGGAAGACAGCGGTTCCAAGAAACAGTTACATGGAAGTTACAAGAGATGGCTATAAATAGGGGAAACGAAGACGAAGCAAGGGTTCCACAACCAACCATTTGACACACAATGTCAAACTTTCCCCCCCCCCCCTGCAAATTAGCCATAGTCTTAGTTTTCGGAGCTCTCACTGAACCTCCATAGGAGTAGGTGTAATTAACTTAGTTTGTTCCCAAAAGCCATCAAAAATATCAAACACCCTCGTTCGAACATTGTTCGAAGAAGAGTGAACTGTGTTATTGTCGTTGTTCAAGAAGTCAAAAGTGTATTTATTAAATTCAAACACCAGATTTTTCTTGCCCGGAAAACAGTATCAGAGGGTGACTAGCAACAACAATATAATTGACATTGAGGAATGATATCGCTTTCCGACAATAGCATAGCTTCCACGCCTTATCTTCTCCTCGTTCTTATTTCTACTTATCCCAATATCATCACAATGCATTATTGGCCGTATGTTCAACTTTACTCCTGCCCTTGGTGCAGAATCAATAATTCGATATGGGGAAAAAAAAGAGAATAAAGGTAGGGTCCCAGATTCACCCAGAAGATGGACACAGTGCTGGGCTGGGCGACATGTTGATGATTAACTTAACTTGAAGATGCAAGAAACCAAACAATCAATAAAAATGGCTGCCTCCCACCTATTTATGAAACGTCAACCATCTAATCAAGTAGCTAGACATTCTTTAAAACAAATCAATCCCTCAATAATGCGGGTTTTTATCAACTTTATAACAGGTAGCTCAATGCAGTTTCAGCCGGGTATTTATGAGATGCTGGCCATAAATATAGGTTCGTCTTCTTCTCAATCTCACTCGGACGTTCTTTTTCTTCAACAAATCCATTTGGTTGTTTTCAGGCTTGGAAGAGGTACGTACGTTGCTATAACATAACGTAGTATGATGATTTGTGACGACTTTACATCCCCAAATATCATTCCTAACCATTTGTATAAACTCTTCTTTTTCTCACCAGTTCCATGTACGATCAATTGTATGCTCAATATAGCATGTATGAAGATCAAAATCAAATTACACAATTTCATAGTTCTCATGATGACCAATAATGTAGGCTGAGCGTTTGAGATGTTAGACTTGTTCAAGTGAAATGTTAAGTTTCGAAGACCTTCCCCTAAGAAATAAGAATCCGTTCTTAATTAGCATTTGTCAACATTGTGAAAAAGCAAAAACTTGGTGATATGTGACATGTCTATTGTAGAGAGAAATGCTAATCCTGTGTTTCCCAAGGAGAGGAAAGGAAAATTGGAAAGGAAAACCCAATTCTTATTACATTCTTTCTTTTTTTTTAAGGATGAAAAATAGAAGAAGCGGAAATTTTTTCTTTTTCTTGACACTGTTGAAGTCAACCCTCCAAATTTGAGAGAAATAGGCCACAAATTTTTTTTTTTTGTTAACCTCTCATACAAATGATGTTAGTTTGTTTTCTTAAATTTTAAAGAAAAATGAATGAGTGACGGTGTGGGAGTGTAATTAGGATGATAAAAATAGAGGTTATATACAGGCTCATCTATTTGATAATAGCTACGCCATGCCATGTTATATGTCTTATGTAATCAGGAACCGAATGTAACAGTGATTTAAGTAATGTATAACGTTGTTTTATGCGATTCATAAAAATGGTACGTGTGACGTAAAAATGTATTATGTTTCCAGTAAAATGACATTATAGTGTTAAATTTTTATAAAATATATGTCATCGGTACATCAGAGGTAGTTCAATTTTTTATGAAAAAATTAAAATCAAGTTAAAATTAACGAGATATGTTACGTTAAAAATAATAAAATTAATGAAAATTGTTATGATCAAAGTTACATAGAAGTTGGTTATTCATAATATCCATTTTCATATTTTTTTTACAAAAGATATATTTTAACATATTTACTCTTATATAAACAATAAAATAACATAGAACTTTGCTAAAGGGACTTGCAAGTTACCATGACTTGCGACCTCTTCATTGATATGGTCGCCCTATTTGAACAAAATGGTCGACCTCTTTGTTGGAATGGTTGACCAAATGTACTATTTTCATTTTGATATGTTCAACAAATGGTCGATCTTTTCCACTAAAAGGTCGACCACTTTACAAGTAAACGGTCTACCACTTCCATCAAGTGGCCTATCTCTTTCACCAAACTGCCACCGCTTTTAATAATCGATCGACATGATGAACCATTACTAATGATGTAATCATAAATAATTAGAGTCCAATAATAGATAGGGCTAATACCACTAGGAAACCCGAACTATGAAGAATGTGGCATTTGTGTCCTAAAGTATCCAATATGACATTTGTGTCCTGACTTATTATAGCTGTGTGTCATTTACGTCCTGACAATTCCGTTGACCATTATAAATAACGGTTGACCAAATGGTCAACCATAAAATGTTGACTGTTGGTTACATGACACATATGTGGCAGCCACATCTGCGCCACGTCAGCTGCCACATCAGATTTATTATTTTTAAATTAAAATTAATAATTAAATACCAAATAAAAACTAATCTCTTCTTCCTCATCTCAGATTCACCATCGCCGCTCAAATGGTGAAACATGATGGACAGGGGAAAGATTATGTTCAACCTCGCTACAAAGAAGGAATTGGGGGTGGGAGATCGATGCACCGACCCTCCCTAATCACGACCCTGCAATCCCGCTCCTCACCCTTCTCGCCGCCGCAGCCCGACCTTCTCTAGCCCAGCTGCTCGTCCTCCCCTTGTGCTCCTCCCTCCGCCAGAGCGAGAACAACCTTGCTCCTCCCTCCGCCAATTCCAAATCGACTGCGCTGGTGGGAGACCCTTCGTCATCCTCTGTGAAAACAACAACACAATCAACATGCCCTTCCCGGACTCGGAGACCCGCCGGACGGCGTTGGTGTTGAAGAGACAGGAGGAAGATGGAACGGCGGCTCCCATCAAGCGATGAAGACTGGGAAAGATGTATGTGGCTGACTGAGGTCGGGAAACCTTCCAAATCGCCGACGAGGAGGCGGAGGGAAGCTCGTACCCCTTCCAAATAGTCGTACCCCTTCCAAATCGTCGCTGTAGATCTAATTTCAACGCCGCCATTTCTTGGTTTCATTGGATCTGGGTTTCTGGGTTTCATTGGATCTGCAGCGGCGGCGAGGCTTTAACGGGAGCAGCGATTTCAGGTTGCAGCGGTGGAGAAGTGGAATGGAAGTAGTGGTTTTCAGGTTGTGGCGATCGAGAAGTGGAATGGAAGTAGTGGTTTATAGGTTGCGGCGGCAGAGGTTGGGAGAAGGGAGAGGGAAGGGTAATTTTTATGTTTTTTTGTTTTGTTTTTTAGTTTTGTAATTTTTTCATTTTCTTTTCCTGTATGGAAAATAATTATAAATTAATGTTATAAATTCCACTTCATATGCCACATCAGCGCTGACTAGACTTTTTGTTAAAAACTAACGGTCAAAGCCGGTTAACTTTAACGAAAAAATATTTTAAGACACAAATGTCATATTGGATACTTTAGGACACAAATGACACATTGTTGCTAGTTCTGGTTTTCTAGTGGTATTTGCCCTAATGGATATGCTTGCTACTAAGAGATTTAAAATTAGTAGAAAGGATGCAAAGCATAGATGACAAGTTTCTCGAATGATTGTTCTCTCGTAGATTTGGAAAATGTTCTGCATATTTTTTTCTAATATTTGACTTAGTCTATAAAGACTTTCATCTTTACTTCAAATTCTAAGTTTTCTTGTTTTTTATCCTATAATTGTCTTGTGATAGATCAACTTTGTTGTTATGGAAATGCTCAAAAAACGTAGAGTACAATTATTAGCCATCTTCAACGTCTATACTTGCTTTTGTGGATTTTTATTCCATTAGTATTAAAAGATGGTGTTGGTTCTTTTTGTCTTGGCCTATAATCTGCGTAGGGATTTGGTTGTCCACAGGTGATAGGATGTTGCGTTACTATAAAATAATTTTGTTTTGTTGGTCTCCTATCGTCCATTATTTCCCTAATGTAAGTATAATGTAACTCTGTGTCATCTGGTCAATCGTTCGCCGAAAGCAGAGATCATTTGCCGAAAGAGGTACGTAAACCACTTTACAGAATCAGTAGGCTGTTTTGGCAGAAGTGATCTACCTCCTCTAACAAGCGGGTGTAAGTTGAAGGTAAGTGTGTCATGGGTCGACCCATTGTTGGAAGTAGTAGACCGGTTGCCTCAAGTGGTAGACCATTTTCTTGAAAAGTGGTTGACCGTTTGGTGGAAGAGGTTGACCACTTGAAAGTAAGTGTGTCATAAGGTCGTCCCATTTTCGGAAGCAGTAGACCAGTTGAGTCAAGTGGTGGACCACTTGGTGGAATTGGTAGGCCATTTTCTTGGAAAGTGGTCGACCATTTGGTGGAAGAGGTCAACCGCTTGAAACTAAGTGTGTCATCAGGTCGACCCATTTATGGAAATGAGAAACCGGTTGACTCATGTGATAAACCACCTAGTGAAAGAGGCCGACCGTTTTCTCCAAGTTACGTTAACTTGCACATCATCATAGGCATACCCAATAACATATTCATCACACTTGTGTGAATATAATTTTTCTCTCATTTTCCCCTTCACTTCCTATCATAAAACAACATTTTCCCTTATTATTTTCGTCTCCCTCGAAATTTTCTTCCTCTAAGGTTCCCTCAATTTAAGTGATATATGGCTTTGTTATAAGAACCGAAACGGATGAACGACTGGGCCAGTAGAACCGCCAAACCAGTTACGATAGCGGTCCGGTTCATTGCTTTGACGGTTATTGATGAATCAAACGGTTTTTTACGGTTCAACATAAAGTCAGATGAACCACCACGGTTTAACTAGTTCATTGTTTCACTATTTTAACCAAAAACAATTTTAACATTAACTAAAACCATCAAATAATAAAAAATAAAAAATATATGCACAGAAGTGATACATTTCCATTTATAAATAATAAAAAATTTAAGTGATGCCTAATATATTTCTCCTTCCAAACTCTAAGCGAAGAAAGATATTTATAAAAAGGAATCAAGAGAAAGAACATGAGAAGTCACATCTTAATCTGGTGGAATGTAATGTAAGAAACTGTTGGGTTGTCACCATATAATAAGTGGATCGGAAAGGACAAAAGTAAGAGACATCACGAGAGAGCGGGCCGGCCAAAACACAATTCAACATTATTGCAGTAACTTTTCTTTTTTATTTATTGCCCGCTCTTCTTCTTTCAATCGGCCTATATATTCAGAAGAGTTTTGTGTTGGAAATCAACTGAGAGAAGAAAAACGGGTGGGAGAAAGAGAATAATGGAGGAGGAGACGAAAATGGAAAAGAAGCCTTTTCTTGAAAACGGCAACGGCGCCGGAGTATCGTCGCCGCCGCCGCCTGCCCTTATCTTCAGCACGTTCGTCGCTGTTTGTGGCTCTTTCACATATGGCTGTGCTGTAAGTACAGATATAATTACACAGTACTCGTCGTTACTATTGATTAAATTATGCATGGTTGTCGCTTAATTATCATTTTAATTGCATGCATGTTTAATTTACATTCCGTAATACTGGATTCCGGCCACGCAGAAAGAAAAAAAAACGGGTTACTGAAATTTTACGGTGTTTGTTGCTTACATAATTGGTGAGAAAATTATCAAGTTATGACGGAAAACCGTTACAAAAAAGTATTTGCCTTTGTATATAGTAAGAAGTAATATTTTATTTTCTCATTTGGCTGGCTGATTCTTTTCGCATGACCAATCTCAGGAACGAAAGCTCTAATATAATGTGTGTTATTTTATATATTAATTAGTCGGAATTTGAATACAATTGTATGTACAGTCTCTAATTATTCAACTCACTTTCGTTTTTCTTTCTCTCTTTGTGTCTTTGGCGGCAGATATCGTTTTCGTCACCAGCCCAAGATGGAATTACCCAAGATTTGGGACTCTCTGTTGCGGCTGTAAGTATTATATTTTTTGGTCTTCTCGTATGTTAATGAATACAAATAACCCTACATTCGGTTTGATTAGATTCGATTTTCTTCCTTTATTTAGTCGATTTTCTTTGTGAATTTCTTTTTTCTTTCTATTTGTTTCCGTCGTCTGAATTCTTATTGGTAGAAAGAATTTCGTTTCCTTATCTTATCGCTTTTGCTAAAAATTGCGTTGCCAGGCAAAAAAGTGGCCAGCAGGAAATATGCCGAAACTATTTCGAGTGCCATTGAAGTTGGAGCCGGAACATTTTGGCTTTATTCACACGGAAAAATTCCTTAACGGGTGGTTTAGATCTAGAATATAAATAGGAATATGTACTCAGATCACTCAGTTCAAAAAATTTATTTGTAGGATTTAGCTCAAATAACATGTTTGACAATAATTAGGGTTTTAAAAGTTTAGGTAGAAAAGTCGTAAAATTTTGGTAATAAAATGTAATTTTCCATAAAAAAAATTTGGTCTTATACGCAAAAAGGTTAATTTTAGGTACTAGATAATGAAATATATTAAGTTTTAGTGCTAAACTGTAATTTACATATTAAACACAAATGGGACTTGAGAGGAAAGGGAGGGGAGCTCATATGAGTGGGTAGTTACTATAATACCCCTTAATGAATTATGTTAGTGCAATACTTTAATTGAAGAGTCAACTACTTACCGATCAACAATCATAGTTGACTGCCATATAGGATGGATTTAATGAAGTTAGAAGGTCATTATCCAACAATGAAACAAAAAGTAAGTACGTGACCAATAAGAAAAGAAAAATTTTTGAGTAGCAAATGTAAAATAAATTGATGAACTGAGGGACCAAACGTGCAATTCACATCTATGGAACACATTAACATTGCATATTATGTAAATAGCTCTAGATTTTACATAAAAATCTATCTCTAATTGTTTACTCGGAGTTTAATAATTCTTAATTTAGTGTCGAATTCTCCATCATTAAATAAAAATCAATCAACAAACTATGAAAGTGATTTGTAAATAATTTAAATATTAATAAAATTTATTTTTTATTTTTTATTTTTACACCGGACCCACATTGAGCGAAATCTTGCCTACATCACCGCTTGTGTACATATAAGTTTGAGTCGAATCTACTGCAGATTGCCCTAATAATGCCTCTTTGTTTTCACTCACCAGTTTATTGATTCCAAGTGACAAAAATGATAACCGCCTCTCTTATTAATGTGCAATTAGCAAAAATCATCTCATTAAGTGTTTTTGTGGGAAAATTATTGTCCTTTTTGTTGTATACTCTAAATTTTGAGGGTATAATGTATATAATATACTATATTTTGATAAGTCTTTCAAAATTAAATTGAAAAATATATCAACAAGTGTTACGAATAATTTGTCCATGCGGCACAATGTTTAATATGTAAAATGAAAATTTATGGTGTATACTTCGGTGGTTTAGTTCGAATTCCAAACATTGGGATTTGTTAGTTGAGGTTCTGAAGTTCAGAAATTAGAAATATTATGTAATATAATAATCAATTTTAATATTTTGGTTGACGAATTTTCACAGAGATCATACACCAGGACTTTATAAACTATCATTTCAAAATAAAAAGGTTTTGGAAACCTTTACACAGATATGAGTCAAGAATCAAGATCAAATAAATGAACCATCAAACGTATGACCATAGCTAAGCATGTTGACTTAGACAAGAGCTGTTATTCATTGATTAATAGTTATATGTCTTGTCCAAAGGAACATATATACTAGGATCTCTCCTACATAATTTTCTACTGTTTTCTTGTTGAACTCATGTTCATAACCCCTGATGTGGCCCTTTTTCTAGTTGAAATTGGTTTGATAATTTAAACATGGTAGTTGTTGAATTTTGTATTTATCAAAGGAATCACGCTCTGCCAAATCAACGTTGCGCTTCAAGAAAAGGTAGTTCACAACTTTCTGACGTATTTATTGCAATTTGCCTATTTAGAGTAAGATTGTGGGACCTAAACCACGAGTTGGGTGACTTGAGGTGGATTAGTAAGAGTGGATTCGATGAATAATAGAAAATAGATGTAAGAAGTAAGGGTTGAATTAAAAATACGCCTAGCTCAAAAAGTGCATAATTGTAGTTGAAAAATCTGACTTCTCACCCAAAAAAAAAAAAATTCTGACTTAAGCCAAAGCTTTAGCTGAATAATAATATGATTTTGCTACACTAGCTACAGAACCAAATTATTTGTGACCATGTTGGGCGCCATTCAA